AGTTATTATCTCAGGTTAGTTTGGGGAGTGTGCGTTGAAGGACATGGAGAGGAACATAGATCAGTGTAACAGATCGACCATATGGTGCTAAAGTTACACGGAACAGTGTATCACTAACTGAAAGATGAAAATAATTGAATGGTACAATCGCATTTCATTTCCCCTAAAGGCTTTTCATTAGACCCATTGTGTTTTTTGGAAGAGTCTGGAACATCTTGTACTTCTCAGACATGTTCAAGTGGCATAGCACTCAGGACTAATAATAGTCAAATTTATTAATTGTGTAGATTCCCATCCATTATCTTAGTATTTAATTGTACAAACAAGGGAAACTGTTACCAGCCAAAGAGTAAAAATAAAAGTTATAAACACAAGCACACGTGACTCTCCACAAAATCCACAAAAGCTGTCAAACTAAGCTTGTTTTAGTTGTTTCTTTGTTTTTCTCTTACTATTATTTTGTATTATTTTTCAGAGTTCAGCAGCTGGCAAGAAGAGTGAAGTGTCAATGATGAGAGAGAGTAAGAGAGGGCAAACTGAAAACTGAGAAAAGTCTATACATGGCATTGATTTTAGGGGGAATGCAAGTAAAATCTGGGCATCATGGGATTCAGTTTAAGAGTAGTATCTCATTTAAAGTACCGCAAGAACCCAAAAAGGGCACACATTCTTTTTATTTCTTTTTAGTATTATTTTTAATGATTATTTCATTCTTTTTTTTATTTTATTAATATTTTCTTCTTTCTTTTTTATTTATTTTTTATTTACAGAGAAAGGAAATGACAATTGATTTTAATTCAAACATACAGAAAAGTTGCAAGCGTAGAACGAAAAACTTCCTTATAACGGAAAACCTTATTCACGTTTTACCAAATATCCTTCCGGCTCTTATAGCAAAAGGGTCCCTTTACGTCTCCATTCTCATGTCTCCCAAATTCGTTCAGTCTTTCCTTGCCTTTCATGGCTTTGCCTCTTGAAAATTACAGGGCAGTCATTTTTGCATAGCATCCTTCAAATTGGGTGCATGCAATTGCTTCTTGTGACACAACCAGGTTTTAATGTTTGAGCAGGAATATAGCAGACGTGATGCTGCGTTTTTCTCATTGCATCTTATGGGGGAGGCACACATGCCAATTTGTCCCATTAATGGTGATATTAATTTGATTACTTAATTAAGATGGTGTCTTCCAGGTTCTTCCCCTATAAATTCTTTTTCCCTTTGTAATAATTATTTTAAGTGGAGACACATTCAAGCCGTATGAACATCCCATTTCTTATCTTACTTGCACCCTCTAGTTTTAGCATCTATTGATACTTCTTCAAGAATTCAATATTTCTACGGTGATTTCCAAATTGCAATTTTCAATTCAAGCATTCCCCCTACATTCATTACTTGGCATTCTACTGTAAGGAAGACTTTTCTTATCTCCCCATATATTTGTTAATTCATTTATTGCTATCAATGTGGACTCATTGATTTCTATTTTATTCAATGGATTATAACCCATTACTGTTATTACTTATTTTGACACACAAATTATTCCATATTTGCCAATGAGAATCCTTTTAAATGGCTTTTCTGTTCTTTTGATATGTCCCTATCATTCTCTGATATTACTAGAGTCATTTTTCACGACATAATATTCTAGGCTTACCTTGTCCCTGCCCCACTCCAAGAATCAGTCAATTTTCCAAGAAGCCCTGGTGCCTTTCAGTGGTGAGCTGTATTTAGACACCAAGATCTAGGCACTCTGTGTGCTCATTGCTACTGTGTATGCTTCCAGGCTATCCTGGTGGACAGAGTCAGGATTTATACGTAAGTACAAGCATACATACATACACCATGTTCACATACCATTATATCTTCTCCATATTTCTGTATCTGTCTACCTATATGCAAAATTTGTACTATCTCCATTTCCAACCCAGTACCATAGGGATCATGTGACCTTTCTTTCTTCCACATTGTTACATCTCTTCATTAGTGATAAACCTGAGTCCCATTATCCTTTTTTTCTTCTTTTTTTTTTTATCACATAGTATGAATGTATTAATTTCTTTTTTTCTTTTTTCTTTTTTTTTTTTTTTTTGAGACAGAGTCTCACTTTGTTGCTCATGCTAGAGTGAGTGCCATGGAGTCAGCCTAGCTCACAGCAACCTCAAACTCCTAGGCTCGAGCAATCCTTCTGCCTCAGCCTCCTCGGTAGCTGGGACTACAGGCATGCACCACCATGCCCGGCTGATTTTTTCTATATATATTAGTTGGCCAATTAATTTCTTTCTATTTATAGTAGAGACAGGGTCTTGCTCTTGCTCAGGCTGGTTTTGAATTCCTGACTTCGAGCAATCCGCCCACCTCGGCCTCCCAGAGTGTTAGGATTACAGGCATGAGCCACTGCGCCCAGCCGCCCCATTATCCTTTAATATGTTTGCTTGTTTGTTCAATTCCTCATATGTAACTAATCTTGTGCACACTGCCGGGCTGCCAGCCTCAAACCGATCACCATGACTGCTCCATTTGGGTCTTCCTCGTGACTTTTGGACTGAAGAAGGAAGGAAGGAAGAAAGGAAGGAAGGAAGGAAGGAAGGAAGGGAAGGAAGAAGGAAGAGAAGGAAGGAAGGAAGGAAGGAAGGAAGGAAGGAGGGAAGGAAGGAAGGAGGGAGGGGAGGAGGAAGGAGGGAGGGATAGGAAGGAGGAGGGGAGGGAGGTAAGGAGGGAAGCCAGGAAGGCAGCAGGCAGGCAGGCAGGCACCGTTTTTCAATTGAGGTATAATTAAATACAGGCACAGATCTTAAACGTTTAGTTTGATGAGTGTTGAAAGTTGCATGTACCCGAGTAACAACCACCTAAAATCAAATATAAAATATCCCTGTCCCTCTAGAAAGTTTCCACATGCAAGGGAGTACATCCATCAGCACACATCACTAAAACCCCTCTCCCCACCCTCTCTTCTCAATGGTGATCACTCAGTTTGCAGCTGCTGCCCAAAATACTCTCTTCTCAATTTAACCTTTTTTTCCCCCTCATATTTTCTTTTCCTGACACCCAACCTATTTGGTTTCTCTCTCTCTCTTTCCCCATAAACCTCAGATCTTATTATATAGAACAACTTGGCTACTCTTTAAAAAAAATTTTTTTTTCTCACTTTTTCTCAAGTGCCTCCTGCAAAGAACGTGGTCCCTCTCAACTTCATTAGTTTTCTTTCTTCTCCATCCATCAAGGGAATTCTCCACAATAAAGCAGAATCTGGTAGTTGTCCAGCCAGCAAGAATCCTTCGCCTTAGAAGGAATAAAGGAGAAGGACCACCATTATTTTACATTAGTGGCAGTACACTTTTCTTCTTATCATGGAACACAATGTTCACTAGGAGCATCGTTTAAGAATCATGGCCTGACGTGAAGATATCTCAAGCCGATGTGTCCCAAGGAACTTTAGACCTGTGGATGTAAACCAAGACCACCCAAATGAGAACAAGCATATAAATAAATACGAGGATATTTATTCAGAGCCCGCTATAGCAAAGGAGTCTGCTGTCATCACTTGTGTTTGGCAGAAACTCAAAATCAGGCAGAGGAGTAGGAAAGCTTTATAATAGGAAAAAGAGAAGGCTTCAAGTACACCCTGATTTATTTTTGGTGTGGGAAGATGGAGGGAGGCTAACTAGAAGTGGAGCATCCACGTGATTGGTTAGAGAAACATGTTTGGCTTTCTCTGATTGGTCCTAAGTTGGGCCAATTGCTACTGAGGTTGTGGTTTGGCTTCCTAGATCCGTTGCTACAGAGTTTGTGGGTCAGAGTTCTATGATATTTTCATATGTGGCCTGGCCATTGTCCATTTGTGTATTCAGTCTCTTAGAGAAAATGACCTATGAGAGAAGTATGGAATCAAGGATGGTCTCCTCTGAACCCTCCCGAGCAATATCATGAGTGTTGTCTCATTCTCTCTTCCTACTTAACTTCTCTTCTTCACTGAGTGTCAACCTTTCATTTTACATCAACTTTCCAATTTCTGAACAGATACAGAAATCTGTCTAGATCCAAGATGTATTAAAAATGGATGAGCAGGACTTTGACATGAGAGAAGGCTGAGAATTCAAGGACAGCTTTAAGGTCCTAACTGGAGCTGCCAGAGGATCTTGTTAATAACTGCAGAGGAAAGGGACATTGGGAAGAAGTAGTCATTTTGTGAGAGAAGATGTTGAGCTAAGGTTGTTTTTGTTTTTGTTTTTTTGAGACAAGGTCTTGCCCTAATGCCCAGCCTGGAGTGCAGTGGCATCATCATAGCTCACTGAAACCTCAAATTCCTGGGCTCAAGCAATCTTCCTGCCTCAACCTTTCAAGTAAGTAGCTGGGACTACAGGCACATGCCACTGCACCTGGCTAATTAAAAAAATTTTTTTTTGTAGAGACAAAGTCTGGCTACATTGCCCAGGCTGGTCTTGAACCCCTGGCTTCAAACAATTCTCCAGTCTCCGCCTCTCAAAGTGCTAGGATTATAGGCATGAGCCACTGAGCCCAGCCACTGAGCTACGTTTTTAGGGCAGTAAATTTGTAGGTGCCTTCTTGAAGACGTTCTTTACAATCATACATCTGAAAACATAATTTTAGAGATGTGGAGACTGAGACAGAAAGTAGGCGATTGTTCTAAACTTTATGACACGACTGTGGGTTGAAACAGGAGCTTCAACTTTGTGGTGTTCCATCTTTAACATACACAATATAAAAGATTGGAGAAGGAGAGGTGTAGGCAATCCGGAAATCACCAAGATTCTGTCAGAGGCAATAATGGAGTGTTTTGTGCCATTAACAAAAATGCCATGAAGACAGAAACCATCTCCCCAAAATTTCACAACAGACCTACAAAAGAGTAAATGATTAAAGAATGTAGGTCTCAGAGTTCTTTTCAAATCATGATACTTTATCTTTTATTTACAAAGATAAAAGTACACCAAAAAAATGGTTAATGTTTAAGCACTTTTATGTTTGCATCTCTTTTTAGTAGAGGAAAACCACTTTGGTAGTGCCAGTGGGAATCATCCACAATGATTTCTCCAGCGCTCATCTTGTTCTTGAGTTTTCTCTGCCATGCTGCTATTGCAGGACGGAGTAAGTATTTTTTGCTTTTGAAGAAATAATTGATATATCCAACCCCTTCATATATGTCAGGGGTCTATAATGATAACTTTAGATTGTCTTTCGAGTGGACGCTGGAAACACTAGATTGGTGCCTCTTCTTTAATATGGCCATGCTTAAAGCTCCTCTATAAGACGTTTAGCTGACTTAAGTCTCAGTGTACTGACCTATAAAATGGTCACAATCATAGTACTTACTTCAAATAGTTGTTGAGGAGATTAGATGAGATATTGCATATGAAGTATTGGTATAGAACCTGGTATACTTGTTATTGGTAGCATTACATATTGTCATTTATGTGCTAGCTGAACTTAAAAATGCAAATAGAGTGTTCTTAACCGTCTGCTTTGTACTCTATTTCAGCCTGTCCCAGGCCAGATGATTTACCGTTTTCCACAGTTGTTCCATTAAAAACGTCCTATGAGCCAGGGGAGCAGATAGTGTACTCCTGCCAGCCAGGCTATGTGTCCCGGGGTGGGATGAGACGGTTTACCTGCCCTCTCACAGGGATGTGGCCCATCAACACTCTGAAATGTACACGTAAGTCAGCACCTTCTCTCACATTCTCTCCCCTCATTGGGATCCTGGACGTTTCGAGGAGATGACCTACCTTATTGTGCCCAGAGTGTCGAAGGCCGGAGAGGCTGCAGAGTGGAGAGCTGGGGAGAAATGAGAGGCACGGGAGGGGGTTCTCCACGGACGCTGAGAATAAGGGCAATTGGTGCTACTTAGAGAAGAGGAGAAGATCACAGCCTGGGATTAGGGGAGGCTGAGAAAAGAGAACTGGCATGATAAAAGGAGAGCAAAACACTACAGAAGTTAAAAGAGCAGTGGAGGAGAACATTATGTTAAGAGAAATAAGCCAAGCACAGAAGGACAAATCTTGCATGTTCTTACTCACATGTGGGAGCTAAATATTAAAAATACTCGATCTCATGGAGACAGAGAGTAAAATGATGGTTATCAGAGGCTGGGAAGGGGAGGGGGGAATAAAGTGGGGATGGTTAATGGGTGCAAAAATATAGTTGGATAGATAGAATGAACAATACTTGATAGCACAGCAAAGTGACTGTAATCAACAATAAGTCAGGGTATACTTTTCAAATAACGAAAAGACTGGAATTGGATCGTTCATAACACAAAGAAATGATAAATGCCTGAGGTGATGGATATCCCAATGACCCTGATTTGATTAAATCACATTGTATACCTGTAACAAAACATCACACTACAAAGTTATACAATTATTATATACCGATAATAACTAAAAATTTTAAAAAATTAAATAAAAAAATAGAAAAGAATGGTGGAGACACTCTGAAATATAAACTGATGCCAAAGAGATACTTGGAAAAACAAATCTTGGGGAATCCTATTTTTGACTTTGCCTCAAATGAAAGCAGAGTGAAACAAATATAAACTTCGTTTAAATTATATGTATGTTATAATTATATTTATAATAACATATAAATAAATATATTACATTAATAATATAATGCAAAACATATATATATGTCACTATGGCATTATTGTAAATGGTTGCTTTATTTATTCCTTAGAACACGATTCTATGAGATCATGCTAGCCTTATTTTTTACAGTTAATTGAACAATCAACGAGATTGTGTTTCTGGCGATTATATGTAGAAGTTAAGCAGTAAAAATAGGTACATGGACTTATCTGAGCTCTGATTATTTTGGTTATATAGACATGACCTTTGTCAAAATTATATATGGTCATACAAGTTGATTTTAATTTTTTTAATTTAAAAAGACTAAACATAATTTTTAATAAAAAATTATAACATCCTTAGAAACATATTTCTTTTAATCAGACATAACTCTGGAACACTGTTTCATTTTTTGTTATTTTCCATGTTTCTATTTTTGCCTCATTGCAGAGATTATGTACAATTTTGTATTTTTCTATTTTTATCAGCGTATCATAAAAATTGACTATACCTCCATAATCTTCATAATTTATATTTTATTGGCTACATAATAATTCAATTGTTGATTTACCATGGTTAATTAAAACAGTCCTCTTATAGTGAACACTTAGATTGTCCAGATTGTATTATTAACAGTAATAGTGTAATGAACGCCTTGGGACATATATCATTCATCTTATTTTGAATTGCTTTCTTAGAACTGTTATTAGTGGAGTGATTGGATCAAAGGATGGAAATGAGTTTATACTTTTTAATTTTAATTAAAAATTTCATAAATAGAAATTTGCTTTCTTTTTAAATCTTTAAATCACAGCCAGAGTCTGCCCTTTTGCTGGAATCTTAGAAAATGGAGCAGTACGCTATACAACTTTTGAATATCCCAATGCAATCAGTTTTACTTGTAACCATGGGTAAGTAAACCACTACTAAACAGCTGTCAGAGGAGGTATCTGTGCCCTTCCTTTAAATGTCAAGACCGGTCCATATTTTGTTTCTAGTCTTTAGGTTGGACTTGCTGAATACAAATCAATTTTAGTCCTGCTTTTAATGTATTCTACAGTGGTGTCGCAGGTGGAGTAAGAAGTGGAGAATACAACAAATCATGAATTATGAAGTCACCATTATATCTAATTTTTCAGTTCCTGATTAATTACTTATCTGAGGAGGTACATTGAATTGATCGAAGCTGGATGATAATTCTTTATAATCTCTGGGCCAAATCTTGGCATGGGGTTATTTAGAAATAAGACTTGAACTTTAGTTATGTGGCTAATCTGACTGGCCAACTTGGCAGTCTCTAGAAGAGTAAGCTGGAAGGGCGATGACATAGAGCACAGGTTACGTAACGCAGGACAGCAGCCCATGGGAAGAAACCACTCGTGGCTAATCTGCCTCATGAGCAAAACCACCCCTCTGACTTTGTCAGTAGCACATCGGCTATTCATTAGGGCAGATTTTTACTGAAGATTCTTGTTTGGGATTGGAGATTAAGAAATACTGTGTGTGGGCCGGGAGTGGTGGCTCACGCCTGTAATCCTAGCTCTCTGGGAGGCCGAGGCGGGTGGATTGCTCGAGGTCAGGAGTTCGAAACCAGCCTGAGCAAGAGTGAGACCCGTCTCTAGTATAAATAGAAAGAAATTAATTGGTCAACTAATATATATAGAAAAAATTAGCTGGGCATGGTGGCACATGCCTGTAGTCCCAGCTACTTGGGAGGCTGAGGCAGAAGGATTGCTTGAGCCCAGGAGTTTGAGGTTGCTGTGAGCTAGGCTGACGCCACGGCACTCACTCTAGCCTAGGCAACAAAGCGAGACTCTGTCTCAAAAAAAAAAAAAAAGAAATACTGCGTGTGAAAGAGAAATACAGTCCTCTGAAATACAGTCATCTGAAACGGCAATTTATGTGTGGGTCTAGTAACAAATGTCCTTGAAAGACCTTCAAGGATAGAATGTGACATTTTCGTTGCAAGTAGATTGCATTTGTTTTACACATGCATGTCAGTGGGCTCTAAGAAAATGAATAGTAGATATTACTCTCTTTGATTCACTTTTGTCATCCTGAAAAAGAGACAGTTCTTTGTTTTATGCAGTTAACTTGGCCAACTAGTTGGAGATGGGGGATTTAGGAGTATGGTGTCTGCAGTCACCACTTACAGAACGCTCTAGTGATTCACTTGCAGCGTTGGCTAGGGGATTCCTTGGGCCCTAAGTGAGTGTTAAGATCTTCAGGAAAAACTGGGTATGGAGGTGTGTGCCTATAGTCCCAGCTACTTGGGAGGCTGGGGCAGGAGGATCACTTGAGACTAGGAGTCTGAGGCCAGTCTGGGCAACATAGTAAGACTCTGTCTCTAAAATAAACAAACAAACCAAAACACCTCAAGAAAACTGCATTATAAGTTGGAAAGGAAGTCAACAGTATTAATATGAAGCAATACTCAATAGAAAAGACATTCGAGATGCTATAGTGATGGATTATTTTACTGCTTGATAGATTACATTTTCCTTTTGTAGGTTTTATCTGAATGGAACTAAATCTGTTACGTGCACTGAGGAAGGAAAATGGAGTCAGGAGCTTCCTGTCTGTGCTCGTGAGTCTATGGGTCCCAGTTATGGGAATAGTTTGCCCAGAACCTTCCTGGTTTTTAGCACTGAAAGTCCTATACCCTGGAAACTGCTCAGCCCCAGAAGTCCCTCAGTCCTGGCTCAATGAGATGGTTGTTCACCCTTATGGAGAATGTTCATCAAGTTTGTCTTTAGGGTTTTTTTTTTTTTCTGGAAGGAGTATATTCAAAAGCATCAACTATTTTCATAGACATGATGGTTCTTTCTTTTTCCAGCCATAACCTGCCCTCCACCACCTGTACCTAATTTTGCAACACTTAGTGTCTATAAGCCATCACTTGGAAACAACTCCCTCTATAGGGACACAGCAGTCTTTGAATGTTTGCCACATCATGCGATGTTTGGAAATGACACAATTACCTGCACAGCATATGGAAATTGGACTGCATTACCAGAATGCAGGGGTAAGTGCAATGATAAGACAAAGTCATTATAGTAGTGTAGAATCTCGTTTTTGTAAAGTATTGAAAAGTCCAAGTATTGCGGAGTATATCCACTTACCTCGTGCAACAAATGTTTATTGGTCATGTGTGTGCCAGGCAGTGTGCTAGGCACTAAGGATACTAGATGAATGAGACCTGGCTTCTGACCTGAGGGAATTATATATAAGGCAGTTATCTGTCTGGAGCTTCCTAGGAAAGCTTCCCAGTGGCAGTGACCCTTGAAATGGGCCTTGGGGGAAGAGTGGAATATGAGGGGAAGACACGCCACACAAGGGTACAGCAGGTGCTAAGTCAGGGAGGCATGAGAGGGCAGGATGTTTCCATGGACAGCTGAATGTTCCAGTAAGGCTGGCGAAGAGATTAAGCCTGGATTAAACTGGGGAGTCCTAGGAGATGAAGGTGAAAACTGTGTTGCAGTCCGATTGTCCTAAGTCTTTATGACCTTCACCTAAATTTAAGAATCACAGAAATATTTGATTTAAAAAATTATAAAAATTCTTTCTCCTTTAGCTTGATCTGTCATTACTCTTTGAATTTGTCAGTTGCAAAACAAGTAGACACATTATAGAATTTATCATGCACACAGAAGATATTCCAAGGACTGTTAACTTCTTCAATGGTAGATATTACATATATGTATTAAATGATTCAAAACATAAGTGATTTTTAGCCTGGGGAAACTACCAATAGTAACTAGCATCTTTTCGGGCACTTAACTATGGGCCAGGCACCAGTCACCTGCTACATAGTGTCATCTGATTTAATTCTCCCAAGTCCTAAGCAGTAAATTCTCTTTATCAACTCTTCACCCAGATGTATCAATTGTTGATATGCTGTGACATTTTCTTCCTCTCTCTTTCTCCATAGATAGATCCTTGTTTTGGTGAATCATCCTAAGTTGTATATGTCATGACACTTACCCAGAAATACTTTGGCATAATGTACTAAGAACAAGGACATTCTGTATTATTACTGTACCTAAGCCATTTAATGTTTTGAATTATTAACAATAATAATTTAAACAATTATAATAGTATAAACAATTAACAATATATCATGCAACATTTATTTCAGATCCAAATTTTTCCAATTGACCCAGAAGTGTCCTTTATACGTGTGTTTTGTTTTATGAAGGATCTAATCAAGAATCACTTTTATTTAGTTGTCATGTCTCTTTAGTCTTCTATAATTAAGATAAACCCCCTACCTCTTTTGTTGTCTTTCATTGACATTTTTGAACAGTACAGGGTAGTGGTTTTATATAATGTTTCATAATTTGAATTTGGTTGATTACTTACTCATAATTAGATTCAGGTTAAATATTTTTGTTAGGAATACATTCCATGGCAGGGGATTGTGGCTCACACCTGTAATCCTAGCCCTTTGGGAGGTCGAGGCAGGAGGATCACTTGAGGCCAGGAGTTTGAGATTGCAATGAGCTATGGTGATGCCACTGCATTGTAGCCTGGGTAACAGAACAAGATTCTGTCTCAAAAACAAAAAAAAAAGATACATTCCGTCACATCAGGAGGCACTTATCTCTTCTTGGTAAAGGCATCTCTTTTCCTTTGCAATTATTAAGCAGCCTGTGGGTGGTACTTTGAAACCACATGAATATCCACTCTCTAGCAGTCACTGTAGAATCCACTGACTCTATCAGTTATGACATTGGCAGCTGCGAAATAGTGACTTTCCGGTTTCCCTTTCACATCTACTTGCTGGCTTTCCTCTATGCAGAAGAGCTTTCTCTCCATCCACTATGGTTTTTTAGCATTTCTGTAGATGCATGGATTCTTTTTTATTCATTGTGTGGCAGAACCAAAATTGAGCCAAGCAGTTCAACTCTGGAGGTCTTAACTACTTCATTAAAGTACTTCCTAGTAATCTGAGCACTCTGGGAGGCCGAGGCGGGCGGATTGCTCGAGGTCAGGAGTTCGAAACCAGCCTGAGCAAGCGCAAGACCCCGTCTCTACTATAAATAGAAAGAAATTAATTGGCCAACTAATACATATAGAAAAAATCAGCCAGGCATGGTGGTGCATGCCTGTAGTCCCAGCTACTCGGGAGGCTGAGGCAGGAGGATTGCTTGAGCCCAGGAGTTTGAGGTTGCTGTGAGCTAGGCTGACGCCACGGCACTCACTCTAGCCTGGGTAACAAAGCCAGACTCTGTCTCAAAAAAAAAAAAAAGTGCTTCCTAAGAACATTGTGCTGCTGGCCACAGCCTTGCTTTCTTGTATTGTGGTAGATAAGGGCATGGGTTTGGGGCTCTACTGATTAGGCTCTTAAGGAGGCCAGGAAGCAGCACCGTGTTTCTCTGACGTATTTCATGCTGGCTTCTTGCGTAGTCGGAAGACAATAATAACAATTAGGTTTACTATTTTAAAACCAAAGAATGGTATGCCAAGTGTGCATAGGGGAGCACAGCTTTTGTGCTTTAATTTCATGGTTTGTTGATTGCGAGAGACAGTCTTTGTTTTTCTTCTTTCAAACCCAACATCTTAAACTGTGTGGAGATGAAATTATCAATATATAACACCTTATGATTATATGTGAAAGCCCAAAGAATTTAGTAGACTATCATTAATTTACTTTCAAAGTGTTGTTCTTCATAAATGTCCAGAGTGCCATAAGTATAAGAGAAGGGGGATGGAATTAAGCAGAAGGTACATAGAAATTACATTCAGTCACAGGAACACCCAGTGATTCAATGGTATGGTGGAGACAAGAATGTAACCATTCCATAATGGTTGGCCAGCACTACTATTTATTATTAATATGTCTTATTGAATAAACTTTTTAGAAGTAAAATGCCCATTCCCGGCAAGACCAGACAATGGATTTGTGAACTATCCTGCAAAACAAGCACTTTATTACAAGGACAAAGCCACATATGGTTGCCATGAAACATATGCCCTGGATGGCCCAGAAGAAGTAGAATGCACCAAACAGGGGAACTGGTCTGCACATCCAAGTTGTAAAGGTATGGAAACGTAGATGAGGCCCCATAAGGTCTCTGAATTTACCCAGTGGATCACCTCTACTTGCCGTTTTCCTATTCCAATCACTTTCTACTTGTTGCTCAGACATGTTCCATAGCTACTGGCACGTGAAAGACTTTAGGACTCAGATGTACATGGAGAAGCCTCATGCTTAGGAAGCTTCCTTGATATTAAACTACATGAAATAAGCAGATCCTTCATAAGCATTGATAACATTGTATAATAGAAGATCAAGTGGGCTTTCTATATTTGCTTTGAAGTCTTTGTCTATTATCAGCATCCTAATTTTGCTTTGTCTAGCCAAGGCTCTTCTTTTTTTGCAAAAACCAACCACAGATTTGAGCTAGTTCAAGCAAATGGGGGATTATTATAAAAAGGCAATAGGCAATCACAGGGGCACTGAAGATAATGAAATGAAATGCAACTCCTGAGGATTGGAACTGAAAGTCAGAAACTATTGCTACTCTCTCCATATCTCAATGGCCTCTCCCATCTCTGTGTCTTTCTGTTTACTCATCTTGAACATGGCTTGACTCTACCAGGACTTCTCAGCTAAAGGATTTGTCACCAGTTGGCATCTTTTCCCTGAGATGCTGGCTCCTTTTGAGTTAGGTGTCTGCCCTTAATCCATAAGTGTCATGCTTATGCAAAGAACAACAACCTAGCATTGTAACTGGGCTCAGGTTGCTATGGGCTAGATGGTTTAAGTAGAGAGGCATCTTAGGTTGGAGTCTCCTAGGAGCAGAGCCTAAGACAGGGATTTGAGTACAACTCATTTATGGAGTGAGTGTCTCAGGAGAAAGAGAGTGAGACAGGTAGGATAGGGTAGGGCCTTGGTTCTCAAACTTCACTCTGCATCAGTGTTACCTGGAGGACTTGTTTAAGCACAAGATTTTGGGGCTTCACCCTTAGAGTTTCTGATTCAGTAGATCTGGGATGGGACTGAGAATCTGCATTTCTGCCAAGTTCCCAGGAGATGCTGCTGCTGCTGACCCAGGGACTATGTTTTGAAGAAGGTTGTGGTCTCGGCTTGAGTCCAGCTTCTGTTTGATCCCACTGGGAGCTTTGGAGCATGAATTTTACCCTGGAATTAATTCCACCAAGAGGCAAGGGGAACGGCTTTTTATATCCCCTTGTCAGTCAGTCACTGGCTATGAGCTGCTCTCCCTTCCCTGACCCTGGGGGTCGCGGTGGAGGTGGTTTGCATAACTTCTTGGGAGAGGTGGCTTCCTTTTGGCTGAAGGCAATTGTTCAGAGAAAGGAGCATTTGTGAGCTCATGGTGGCTAGCTCATGGACGGCTACTGCAGCTCAGTAAGTGGGCTCTGAGTCGGGCAGTGCCGGCTGACATGAATGCAATATCTGGTAGGAGTTCTTTTTCACCAAAGCTGAGAATCTGATGCTTCTGTTCTGACCTTCTTATGTGGCTACTGCAGGGGAAGAAAAGGACATCTTGGAAGCCATGAGTTACGGTTCTATTGGTAGAGAACTGCTATTGGCCATCACATTGACACCACCACGTGCATCCTTGCACTCTTCTCATCTTGATCAATTTATCTATGTGTACACATCTACTGGTTCAAATGCTATATTCTCTTTAAGAAAGATTTACTGAACTCTTAAGTCTTGACTGCAAATATCTTTCAGCATCTGCAAATTTCAATATCTGCAAATTTCTTTCAGCATCTTGTAAATTACCTGTTAAAAAAGCCACTGTGATATACCAAGGAGAGAGAGTAAAGCTGCAGGAAAAATTTAAGAATGGAATGCTGCATGGTGACAAAGTTTCTTTCTTCTGCAAAAATAAGGAAAAGAAGTGTAGCTATACAGAGGATGCTCAGTGTATAGATGGCACCATTGAAATCCCCAAATGCTTCAAGGGTAAGTCTATGATACATTAGAACTTCTAGCTAGGACTCCCCCTTGGCCTCACCATAATCAGCACTTTTGTTATATAATGATGGTCAGAAACCCTATCATTTTGGCCATTGGATTTTTAAAAAGAGGAGTGATAGGGAGAAAAAAACAGATGAGGCAGTGAGCTGTGTATAGTGTCTCTACTTGCATTTTCCTTTCTAATTCTTTTCCTTAAAACTCAGGGTTATGATTTTACTCAATGGTTGTTGAGGTGAATTATGCCACCTTGTATAATTCCAAGTTAAGCTTGAATAATAACACTGAACTGAATAATAAAATAATAAAAATACTTACTACTTCTTTGTCCCAAACTATAAAGAACTCACCCCAAATCACAAGGCAACCCATGGTAATAGTAATTGGTCTAAAGATCATCCATCATTTTTTCCCTTCCTTCAGCAATTCCCAGAGTTTGAAAAGTGTCTATTAAAGCAAAGTATTCATTAGAGCAGAATATATTAAGGAAGATGATACTATGTTTGCGTGAAATAAAAGAATGTATAACGGCCAGCATTTAGAACTGCTAACCTTTTACGATTTCAGGTTTAGGGTTTAAATGTCTTTGTTGCTGCTATGAGGGAAGAACTAGCCAGAGGCTGAAGCTCTGGTTGGGTCTAGGTTTAGAAATGCTCCAAAAATGTTGACGACCCTGTATCAACAGCTTGGAGACGATATTGGGGGCAGATAAAGCTAAGAAAAGAGGGTTCTGAGAACTGTCCGGTTAGAGGAAGAGAAGGGAATGACAACTGATTAATAATAACCACTTCATGGGATTGGTTTGATTACTATAAATATTAGAAATATGCCTGACATGAAGTGCTGAACCAATGACATCATCATTTTTAACTACAATCAGTTAGAAATGCACTAGATAAATTGTTATTGTTCAAAAGATAGCAGAGCCCTGGTAAGATGTTTAGTATAAAAATTGACAGAAGTACAATAAGCCTCATACAAATCAGTAGAAAAAATATTAGAAGAGGGTAATTTTTTTAAAAATCAGAGCTTTGTTGATGTATTTCTTCAGGCTATTCTCTCTTAAGGTCCTCAGACAGAGGCAGCACTGTCAGTGCATTGGAGAATAAATAAGGGCTCATCTAGTTTTTTTGATTTTTAAATCTTGACTGTCAGACTTGTAGAGAACCTTTTGTTTTTTTTCTCTTGGAGATAAGTGTCTTAGCATTTCCTTTATCTTGTCTGCCATCACTTAAACCTCCCACTAAATGGTTTCATTCATATAATTAAATGTACTCTATACCTTTGTAAAATGTATTTGATTTGGCTTAGCTATTTAACAAATTTAAGAAGTGATTGTTTGTCTTAGAATGCTTATCTTTTTCTCTCCCAACAGAACACAGTACTTTGGCTTTCTGGAAAACCGATGCATCAGATGTAAAGCCATGCTAAATGTGGTTTTCGGATTCAAAATTAAATGTCTTGTTTGTTCAAGGAACCTAATGGAAGTGGAAAAATAAAGTTACTGAATTTATTGCCTCAGTCATTGCAGCCTTACTGCTTATAGTAGCTTACTTCTGGTTATGTTATCTGGTTAAAACACACAAATATTTGGAACATCATAAGGGCCACATCAATGGCTGTGAAATGAAAAGTGTAAACAATTATCCGGGAAACCCCAGTTCCCCTCTGCCTAATTCTACTCTCAACACTTCCACCTAAAACCCCTGCAACATAATATTTTTCATAGAATGGCCCACAGACCCCCACATCAGCATTACTCATCTATTTATTACAAAGAAAAAAATGCTTTGTCTCAGAATTGCATAGATGTGTTTATGACAAAGTTCTCAGATAGATAGTTCTTGTGCAGCCTTAAGTTTGAGAAGTATCGCCATACAGAAATAAGCATGGTCAAGAGAACTGGATTTGGACCCTTGGGTTTCTGTAATGTTAAAAAAAAATCTTTCCTTACCCACCAGGATCCCATCGTCCATTATTGACATTGCTCATTTGCATTTATTCAACTCCCTTGCCCTTCTCTCCTTCTATAGTACTTGCTGTCCAAACTCACCCCAGACTCCCCTGTGCCTGCACTGGAGCAACTGACTTCTGCTGGACAAAAAAAAAAAAAAAAAAAAAAAGGAGCTTACAACCATTAGGATCCACTTTGAATTCATAAATGCAAACCTTACATAGACCCTGAGCTCTGCCCAGCAATCCCACCATCCAGCTCTAGTTTGTTTGCTCCGTTACCCTCCACAGTGGCTATTTCTCCTCTCAGCCTTCCTCAAGCCACCTCCCTGCTCCTCACTCTCAGCTGATAACCTTGCTTCTTATTTCACTGAGAAAATAGGAAAGATCCTTCTTTATCTCTCCAATGCCAAATCCATCATCCTCCCAGTATCTGTACCGGGGACCCTGCCTTGCGTCTGGTTATGACGGATGAACTCTAAGGTCCCACTCAAGGGCAAGCCCTGTGTTTATGCACTGGGTCCCATCTTCTCTCTCCTACTTAAGGTTTTTGCTCCTTCAATTAATGCTCGTCCGTGTGTCCATGTTTATTTTTCCCCTTTCTATACAAATATACATTAATAGCGTCTATTTTTAAAAACCTCCTGTTACCTCACATGTCTTGGCAGCTACAGTGCCAAGTCTTTAGTCCCTGTTTCTACAAAAGTCCTGGACATTATTTACCTTTTTCATTTGCACCATATACTACTCAGCACTACTTTTGGAATCTGTGTTCCCCATAGACATGTCCTCCCTATGCGCCTTCCTCAGAACTTGACCCCATTCCATGCGGTGGGGGCCAGATCTCTTCTCCAAGACACTTCCCTCCTCCTCCTCCTTTTACAGAAACCAGGGTGGCCCCTGTCCCTTCTAGACTGTCATTCAAGAGCGTCACATTCCTGTTACTTAAACTTTAAAAACAATTTTACTTTTCTTCCTCAACTCTTTTCTTCCAGACTCTGTGTGTGTGTGTGTGTGTGTGTGTGTGTGTGTGTGTGTGCACATTAGAGGTAGAGTTTGAGAGGTTGTGATGCTTCCTCTTTCTAAACCCAAAGCCCTATTTAGGGATTTTACTGAACAAAAGGGCCATACACTCTGGGTTTCCTCACAGCAAAGTAAGAAGCTTTAGAACAACTGTTTTCTTTAACTTGTCACATACTAATTTTAAAATGGGCCAACCTTCATTCCACGCAAGAGTTCTAGAAATGAAAAGAGAGCCTTAAAGATTTTAGAGCCTCTTCCCTTGCCCCACACATAATCACTGTATTTGCTCTGAAAAGCGGTAGAATTTTTTTTATTGTTCTCCCCTTTTGTTGCAAATGCTTTCATAATTACTTTTGTTGTTTTTAAATTTAAAAATATACATTAGAACTATAGTATTATATAGTGAAAATATATGTTAGAAGTATATATTATTAAATTCAGTAAAGTTCTGGGATATAAAATTAACACACAAAAATCATTTTTTATAGCATTTCTGCACACTAATAAACTATTTGAAAAGGAAATCAAGAAAACAATCCCATTTATAATAGCTACAAAAAATACTTAGGAATAAATTTAGTCAAGGGGGTGAAAGACCTGTATGCTGAAAACTATAAAATACTGATGAAAGAAATTAACATTTCATTAATATGAAAGATCTGTATTTTGCTAGCATCAGATATTCAGTGTGCCTAAAGTTCACACCCCAGCACTCCTATTTTAAACTCACAGTACCTGTTCAACACCACTCCCTTCCCCAACCTATTCTACAAAGAAGCTCCTGGAATATGGCAAGTTTGTGGAGGATGGCTGTTTGCACCATTTTATTTACTGGAAGGCATCTCGGGCTGCTGGATAGGCTTGGATTCCTGAACAAATAATCAGAATACACGTCAGAGCTTAGACTATAATACTGAGTCCTCTAATTTAATGATTTCATTTTCTCAGAAATGAAAATCTGCTATTTTTGCACTCTGAAGAGGTAATTTCGATTAGAGGAGCCCATCAGTAGAAACTGTCCAGTTGCAACCCCTCCGTTTAGTGAATATTTGGTTCATTTAATCCTATAAATAGATTCCCTTTTGCAAATGTTTTTCTTATTGAATGCTTAGCTCTCCAGGTTGCCTGTCGCCAAAGTTCAGCTGCATACTCTCTTGCCATAAGGTGTAGTGATTTCCCATGGCTGAGAGTCTGGGAAGTACTATCAATGAAGAAAGAACTACAACCACAAGGAGCTGGTTATCAGCTTCTATTTTTCATGGTTGAACTTGGTCTTTCCAAAGTAATATTACTTAATTGGCCACTGCAGACTAAATGAATCCTATAAACTGCACATGGCTGAGGAAGTCTTCTTCCAAGACAAGTGGGTCCCTGAAGGTGCTTTCCAATGGCCAGCTATTTTATCTCAGATTATGGCAGGATGGCCTTCTAAAGGCAAAGACATCAATGTTTTAACTTCTCTCTTATGTTATATTACTGCAAGAAGTTTATAGTATAGAAAATGAATTGTCTCCTTTCTAAGATAATGACCAATCTTTCAATGTATAGGAGGATCTCATTCCTGAGCCCCCAAACTTAATAAGAAGTACTATTCATCACTGATATTTCTGATCTGCTAGCCTGAGGATCATTCCCTGCTTTAATCCCTCAACAAAAGACTAAAAAGGTAAAAGAAGGAAAGAAAACAGCTTGGGGTGTGTGCATGTGTGTGTCAGTATGTCTGTGTGAGAGAAAGTGTATGTGGTTGGTATGCAGGTGTGTGAGCATATTTGTCCCTTGTATGTGAGTGTGTGTAAGTATACATGTGAGATGCATAGTATGCATGTGTATATGAGTGTGTATGTGGTTTGAATGTGTGTGCTTTGTGTACATGCCCATATGCATGCATGTGTGAGTGTGTGTGTGTGTTTGTGTGTGTGTGTGAGAGAGAAAAAGAGAGAGAATTAGTTCTTGTGTGCTATTGCTGCCTCCTAGTGGCATCTATTGCTTTTCAAAGTGCTAGAAAAACAGTTGGGAAAGAAAAGTTCTGGTATTGAAGTGTCCTTGTGTCAGACACTGGGCAAATTTTTCCATATATCTCACCTTTGTTAATTCAGTTTTCCCAATTATCCCATAAGGAAGATAAAGAAGCTGAGGCTCAGGGAGTTTATGTAACTTGGTTTACTCAGGTGACAAAATGAATGAGTGACAGAACCAGATTTCCAAACTTTAAAACTATGTCTTCTGTACCATTATTACAATGCTAGTTGAGCTATGACTTTCCCCACTGGCTTCCTAGAAATATTTGAACTCTAAAGTTGAAATTTTGCAGCCTGGTGCTGAAACATGTTGATAGGAAAGATTGTTATATAGGTGAGGCTAGGAAGTGCCCTAGCCTGCTAGTTCCTTTGGACACTTATTAGGGCAACATGGCAATATTATTATTATTAAATATACGTTAATATATATTATTAAAGGAAAGGAGGAAGAATAGTCAGTTTATCTATGTTAATAGCCAATAGCATGAATTGCCCCAAGAAAATAGGAGTAAATAGTAGAAGTGGGGAAGGGATGAAATGGTGAATATTGCTTAGTTTTGGTATAAGGAAAAAATCCAGAATCACTTTGCTAAGGGCAGTTACTGTTTTTTTAGTAGTGAAGAAAAGAAAATATGCTTCATAATCCTTGGTTTCTACTCTATACTGCATCTATTCATGGTATAATATACTTTCGTGATCTGTAAATAGGAAGTTCTGCATTATTTCTCATCCAATTTAAGGAATTTACTGGTTACAGGGTTATTCTGATATTTATCTCTAATGTGTTTACATAATAATAATAATTCTTGATATTTATAAATTGTTTTCCATCTTGATAGCAAATGTCATTCAATTATTTCATTCTAATGATACAGAGTATCTTAATGTAAAATTGTGAAATCACTGATTGAAATTTGATTATTTAGAATATCAGCTTATATGTACTGTGTACAGAGTCATTGCTAGTTTTGAAATAATAAATTAAAAATATGGAAAATCTAAAGTCCCAGATCAGTTGACTAAAAAAAAATTAATAAAAATATGGAAAATCTATCTTTCTATCTATCTATCTAATATATATGTATATATCATGCCAAATGTCACAAAAGTAGACAAGGGCCAAAAGAGATACCTTTCAGAAGAATAAAGAGAAAGGACTAATAGAGATATTTAAATATTTCAACTTCTCTAATAGTGGAAAATATAATTAAAAAGAGATTTTTAAAAACATATAATTAGCAAAGATCTAAAAAAATTGTTAATGTGAGACAGCTACTCTCACAGACTACTGAGTGGGATTGCAAATTTGCAAAATACTTCTAGTAAGCAATTTGTCAGTACTGATCAAAAGCCTTAATGCTTTTTTATGCCCACAGGAATCTCTTTTATGGAAATAGCTAAAACTTCAATCCAGATATATATATATATATATATTCAAAAGCATTTATTGCAACATTATTTATAAGAGCAAAAAATTTGTAACCACAAGAGAATAATTAAGTGAATCATGTTATATTCCAATGATAG